TTTTGCTAAGCAACTCAGGTAAGTAGAGTATGACTTCTCTACAGCACTTGTAAACTTTATTTGATAGACTTTCTATGGAATGTCTAGTATGCTATTATGTGAATTTTTGCGTCATTGTCAATGTGTATGTTTTGTGAAGACATGCTTGTGCTAATATATTGTACACAAAGTAGAGCAGTACACTGATTATTAAATTGCTTGTGATTGAACACATAATAGCATGCATGATAGGCCGGTACTGCCAAGTCCTCAAAGGACTCCTATTGTGATATGGTGATTGATGAAATTGTGATTAAGCCGCGCAAGTCTCTCGAGCCAAGTGGGTGACGACAGAGACTATACTGTGATATTGAGAAATTGTGATTTTGAATGCAATGGTCGTTCCCTCGAGCTAGGTGGGTGATGACGGAGAACCTAATATTGTGATTTGAGAAATTAGCATGTGGTCAGATTGTGAAAAAGCCGGTGGCAGTACCGGGAGGGCCCTAGAGATATATGGTGCACGTGCATAAAGTGTAAGAATTGATTGGCATAAGTTACCTAGAATGTTGTGATGCATACGTATATTAAAATGAGATTGTGTAATTGTAGCTCTACTTACTGAGCCTATAGCTCATTAAAGTTTGCTCTGTGCTATAAGTAAAGGTAAGAACAAAGACTGTACATATGGTCAGACTAAAAAAGCTGCACGCGTATTATTTTGGGTTTGTAAATACATATGTTTTGGAGTTAAACTCATAAACCTTGGATGACTGTATAATTATAATTATGGCTAGGAAACCTGATAGGAATGGTGTATTTACAAAATCTTGTTTAAGCAAAAATTTTAAAACACCGTAGTTTCCGCACAAGTAAAAAGTGAAGGTTAGTTATTGTGGCACATCCTTAGGATTAATAGTAAGTAAGGCTTGAAAAGAGATGGTATAAAGGGTGTCACAAAGTGTACATGGCCTCTCCACCTGGGTTTGAAGAGAAGTTCGACTCCAAAGTTTGCAGACTAAAAAAATCCTTATACGGGCTCAAGCAATCTCCAAGAGCCTGGTCTGAAAATTTTACTCATTCGGTGAAGAATCAGGGATATGTCCAAGCTCAAAATAATCACACCATGTTTATGAAACACTCCAAGGATGGTAAGGTGGCAGTCTTAACAGTGTATGTAGATGATATTATTCTCACCGGTGATGATGTAGCAGAGATGGAACAATTGAAGAAAAGATTGGCCTCAGAATTTGGGATCAAAGACTTGGGAACCTTGAAATACTTTCTAGGAATGGAGGTTGCAAGATCAAGAAAAGGGATTACTGTCTCGCAAAGAAAATATGTGCTGGATCTTCTCAATATGACTAGGATGAGCGGATGCAGGCCTGCAGATACTCTCATAGACCCGAACCAAAAAACTAGGAGATTGCAAGGATGGAGCACCGGTTGACACAGCTCGGTACTAGAAATTAGTGAGAAAGCTTATTTATTTATCGCACACCCAACCTAACATAGCCTTTGTAGTAAGTGTTGTGAGTTATGCACTCTCTTTGTAAAGAACATCGTGAAGGGGTATATCGGATTTTAAGATACCTGAAAGGTACACCGGGAAAAGGACTGCTTTTCAAGAAACGGGAGGAGAAGACTATTGAAGTTTACACTGATGCGGACTGGGCAGGTTCCATCACAGATAGGAGATCTACATCTAGTTATTGCACTTTTGTATAGGGCAATTTAGTCACATGGAGAAGCAAAAAGCAAAATGTAGTTGCCCAGAGTAACGCAAAAGCTGAATACCGAGCTATGGCACATGGAGTGTGTGAGATGTTGTGGATCAAGCGGATTCTTGACGAGCTTAGGAGATCAGTTGAGATGCTGATGAAGTTGTATTGTGACAACAAAACTGCAATTAGTATTGCCCACAATCCTATGCAGCATGATAGAACCAAGCATGTTGAGATCGATGTCACTTTATAAAAGAAAAGCTGGAGGCTGGAACTATCTGTACGCCATTTGTTCCTTCAACACAACAGATAGCTGACATTCTCACCAAGGACCTTGTCAGATCGAACTTTGAGTTTCGCACAAGCAAGTTGGGCATGTTGAACATCTATGCACCAACTTGAGGGGGGGTGTCGAATATGATAGATCTTTTATCTCCTATTTATTAGGATAACTATTCGGAAAATGATAGATCTTTTATCTCCTATTTATTAGGGATAACTATTAGGAGTCTTATCTTTTAATAAAAGATTTGAATTAATTTTCAAATCTTATAGTTTATCATATCTGTTAGGAGGATTAGTTAGTTTCCTATTTTTGTGGCTTGTTGGTAGTTTAGGGATTCCTTACTGTACTCTTTGATGTGTTGAATAAGAATAATAAAAATTGATTATTCTCTCCGAAACTGATAGATACTTATGTTCAATATGTAGGTGAACTCAAAAGCCACCATAACATAAGGTAAAAACACTTGCATGGAAGATTTGATGCTTTGGCTTGGTGCTTGCGTTTATATCTTCCTAATTGAAACCATAAGATGCAGAAGGAAGAATAATAATAGAAAAGATAATGCAGTGCTCAACCGACTCTCCTCAACAAAGGCTACTGTGTAAACTGTGATACAGTATCTTTTGAAATGACTATGCCTGGACCAAGAATAACATCTTTGTTAAAGTTTTCATTAGTTTAGCTTTTTCCAGGGCGCACATTTAGGCTCGACGTTATTGCTTGACGCATACATTATTCCTCGGCAGTTCTGATGCACAAAATTCTGGAAGTTAGAGCGGGACAGTTGGGCAAACAGCTTAGGCTTCATTTCTATTTTTTAGAGCCTGATACGGCCAATTTGTACTAAGCTCTGGCCTTCACATAATAAATCTTCCAGTTTTGGGCTTTTGGCAAGATTTATTTTTCTGTGAATATTCTCTATCCATACTGTATCTGAAGAATCCTTTGAAAAGAACAACACTTGGGACTTTTGATGGAAGCAAGTACCTAGCTACCTGTAGAGTTTCTATGCATGGGAAACAAATTCATTGCAATAGATAAAAGAAAGACTGTACCTGATCCACAAAACGCTTAACCACACGCTTGAAACTTTCAATAGTAGTAATCTCATGAAACTTCCGTAGACGGATGAGTGGAATAGTTGATAGCTCGGGGAATGATATATGGTGGCTCCACTGAGCAAAGTGTGTCGAAAGTAGTTCAATAGCAGACAAAATGCACTGCTCCTGGAAGTTCCGTGATTTCAAACAATGTTTTGGCAACTGTACCAAAAATTATTAATCAGTTAAGTTCAAAAGTCAAAAGTTCTATACTAGACATAAATTAGAAGTCATCAGTTACCAACAGGAAAGTATTAATAGATACTGACACTATATTAAAAAGCAAGAAAACCAATGGATAGCAATTGGCTATAACCATTTAGATTAGCAAGATCACTAATCCCCAACCTTTACAACGGTTGATAAGCTAAAGGCCTTTCCATATTTGCCACCATCACCACTTTTATATTCCAAAACATCCAAAATCAATGACACAACAGGAATGAAGATCCCACTTGAACTGGAGAGCTGATTTAACCATTGAATGCATTTAACTCTCAAAGGTAAATATCTTGGTCCAGGAAACAAGAGAGCCATCCCATTTATGATCTGAATGACCATAAAAACTGATGTCTGGAGATCATAATCACATATATTAGCTGAGATGAATGAAACCCAGAGATCAACACAATTTATGTATTGCCAACTGCATATATTCTTGACTGCTTCCTGCGCGTAAAAACATGATAAGGAGATAAGTGAACTGACAATCGCATGCCTATAGCAAATACACATCAAAATAGCAACATATATCTGCAAATGAATTAGTGAAAGAGGTTAATAGTTCATACTTTTTTCTTCGTTTGAAGTCCCTGATGCAGTATTTTGGCAAGTTGCTGTATGGAAACCATTGCTTTTTTAGATGATTTTTGCACGTCTAAAGAGCATAGCTTAACAAAGGAGTCCCTCAGATATTGCACATGTTTCAATTGAACAGGCTGCTCCACAAACTGACAATGACCAATAAAGGACTTGTATGTCTTAATGAAGCAGGTGTCGAACCAATCAGAATTACAGACAGATGCTAGTTCTAGTATGATGAGGAAAGCATGGGTGGAGACACTATCTCCACCTGTTGCCCAAAGCTGAAGAGCAGCCTGCAAAGGGAACTTCCGGTGAGGCATTCTTCAAATTGTATGAGTTCGATTTATACACATTTAGTAATTAGCCGAAAGATGTAGGCACAAGGATATTCTTGTAATTAACAGAGAGAGGAAACAAAAAGAGAGAGAGAGAGAGACATGGAATAATTATGTAGACAGCATTCATGCTAATTATAGGAATACAAAATAGAGAACTTAGGAAAATAGACGAAACAGTATATATTGAGTTCCATTTTGATATACGAGTACAAGGTTAATGTTTCGGAGCAACAATTACACACAAAGGCTAATTCAGAGAGAAGTACCTTGATAAGTCTACGGAGTAATGAAGGAAATGCAACAAAAAACATTGTAGAAGCTCTGACTCGGGCTAAGGAGAACGCCAATATCTCAGTTTCAGTAACCTGATTTAGGAGAAAAAGGGTGCTCCTCAAATATGATTTAATCAATGGTTTAACTGTATCCCATTTTGAGGAATTTTTCAATTCCGAAAGTTTCTCCTTCCTGAAATTGGAGCTCAAACCCAGCAGCTTCCTAAAAATATCATCAGCCTCATTAAGCATGAACATCAGTATCTTGCTGAAGGCTTCACTGCTAGGAAATCTATGAGAGTCATTATTAAGACTAGATTCAACTCCATAGTGACATACAGCCCAATATCCATTTAACAGACTAGTTAGGGCAGACAGACTTTGCTTCTCTGAAACTAGTTGACACAAATAATCAACAGCAGAGCTAGTCAAGAACTTGCCCTCATTGTTCTGAGTATTTTCATTCATTGACTGTGTTTCATCAACACTCATGTCATCCTCATCTGAATACTGTTAAAATACAGTTATAAGAAGAATACATCAAATGGGGATACTTGCGCTTTGTGTGAAAAAATAAAGCTCGTACACTGAGCAATAATAACCACTTCATGGAACTTTGAAATTAAATAACTTACAGCTTCTTTATTTCTCAATGATTTTAGCTCCTTATCATAGATTTCCAGGAACTTGGAAAATTTGGGATCCTGAAAAATTTTCCCAAGGCACCTTCATTAAGAAAACATTTTAACAGCTAACATTCTCTCTCTCTCTCTCTCTCTAAATATATATATATATACATATAGATATATATATTATATATATTAAAAAAGTTTGAAACATGGGGTCTAACACAAGCTGGAAACGATTACAAAGCGCCAAAAAAAAAAAAAAAAAAACAAAACC